AGCCTACATAGCAGAAATGGACTTTCAAACCTGTAAATAACAACATGTAATTAAATGATAATAAAGTGTTTAGAAAATGTTCCTCCATCTTGGAAATATGCTAAATTGGTGAACATACGATCATTTTACTCATTTGTATATGGCAGAAATCGAATTTGCGCCGCCGAAAACATATATATTGTTACTAAAGACTACTACTTCATCGAAATCAGCACATCGTCTGATTTTCCCGCCACAAGTGGCGGCAATATTGGAAATATGCTGAATATGTGAACATGTGATCATTTTTCAAGGTTGTAAATGTCAGAAATGGATTCTGCTCCCCCGCAAACATATATATTGACACCAAACACTACTACTTAATCAAAATCTGCACATCTTCTCATTTTCCAACTTAAAATGGCCTCCATCTTGGAAATGTTCTAAATATGTGAACATCTTATCATTTTTCAAGATTGTAAATGTCAGAAATGGATTCTGCGCCCCCGTAAACATATATATTGAGACCAAACACTACTACTTAATCAAAATCTGCAAATCTTCTCATTTTTCCTGTCAAAAATGGCCGCCATCTTGGAAATATGCTAAGTATGTGAACATGTGGTCATCTTACAAAGATGTAAATGTCAGGAATGGAATCTGTGACCCGGAAAACATGTATATTGACACCAAGCACTACTACTTAATGAAAATCAGGACATCGTCCGATTTTCCCGCCAAAAATGGTCGCCATCTTGGAAATATCTTTATGAAGTACTGGAAAAAAATCAGAAATATAGTCATGACCCCTGTCAATACTAATACAGTGTCAAATCACAGTTCATATGTCGTTATAAATAAGTTCAAAACAAAATATAAGTTGGAATATTATCGCAAAATGGCTGCCTTTCAAATAATGGCGTCCCATACTGTGAAGACTTGGTGTAGGTGTTTATTAGGTCAATGCCTTTATGGATTTCGAAGATGAGCATTTTCTGCTTAGGGTAGGTGTTTATTAGGTCAATGCCTTGATGGATTTTGAAGATGAGCATTTTCTGCTCAGGGTAAGCAGATTGATAAGCAATTTGATTGGCCCTGACTTGGTGTAGGTTATTAGGTCAATGCCTTGATGGATATCGAAGATGAGCATTTTCTGCTTAGGGTAGGTGTTTATTATGTCAATGTCTTGATGGATTTCAAAGATGAGCATTTTCTGCTTAAGGAAAGCAGAGATAAGCAATTTGATTGGCTGATGCTTTGGGACATGATAACTTATGTTCTAATTAAGTGAGTTTGATGAAACTTGGTGTATAGTTTCATTACATCAATACCTTGACTAAGTTCTGTGGGTAAACAGAGCGATAAGCAATTTGATTGGTCAAGACATTTGAACACAATAACTCGCATTCTAATTGATGTAGAATGTTCAAACTTGGTGTAGGCTTTCATTAGGTGAATGCCTTGATGGTGTTCGATGATGAACATTGTATGCTTACGGTAGGCAGAGATAAGCAATCTGATTGGTTGATTGGTTTGGGGCATGATAACTTTGGTTATAATGAAGTGAAAGCGATGAAACTCTGAATATAGATTCCTTATATCATTACCATGACTAAGTTTGATGGTGAGAATTTTCTGCTTAGGCTAAGGAGCGATAAGCAATTTGATTGCTTTTAATTTAGGTAGAATGCTTAAACTTGATGTAGATGTCTTGACTGAGTTCAATGATTAACATTTCGAGCTGAAGCTAAGCAGAGCTTATCAGTTTCATAATCTTGATTCTATTTGATAGAAAGTGATGAAACATAGTGTATAGTTTAATTGCTCGATACTTTTTAAAAAAAAATGTGCTATTAATTAATATGTGTCATCTAATTATTTTGGGATTTAGGTGGGGGACATCAGCCTCACTGTTGGCTTGTTCCTTCTATCCTAAGGAACATCCCTATTGTTTGTGGTGAATGCCCAACCCCCAGGGGCAGAGCCTCACCCATTTTTTTGTGTTTCTGTGTGTCACTTACAGCCCCCAATTCTTTATTGATCATCTTGAAAACTTTTTTATACCTATTCCTTATACCCTAAGGCTGACCTCTATACTATTATTATTTTTGGTGCATGCCCGACCCGCTGGGACAGAGCCACGCCCAATGTTTGTGTGTCTTGTGTTTGGCCTACAGGCCACAATTCTTAACAGATACCATTGAAACTTTGCATACCTATTCCTTAAACCCTAAGGATAACCCCTATTGTTTTTTGGGTGATTGACAAGAACAGCTGTCTAGTCCTTCGGATGAGACGAAAAACCGAGGTCCAGTGTATACATTGTAATTCACGTAAAAGATCCCTTGGCAGTTGGAATTCGATATAAGAGTAGGCGATAGTGCCGCTGCCTGGGCAAAATTTCCCTCATAGCACACTGTATGGCGTATGCCTGTCTTCATTAGCCCAGTTTAGGAGCAGAACAGTAGGACATTAAACCCCATTTCATTTCATTTCATTTTTATACGCCCACATTGAATTTCAGCAATTTCCATTTATTACGTCTAGAGTTATGGCCCTTGTTTCACTTTATCATCCGATCTTTCTGAAATTTATATGCATTATTTAGATTACTGAAACGAAGAAGCCTATTGAATTTCGGCAATTTCCGTTTATTACGTCTGGAGTTATGGCCCTTGTTTCACTTTATTGATCCTTGTGAACGCTCTAACACAAAAAGTCACACCCAATCTTTGTGAAATTTATATGCATGATTTAAATTAGTGAAACGAAAAAGCCTATTGAATTTCAGCAATTTACAATAATTACTTCTAGAGTTATTGCCCTTGTTTCACTTTGTTAAACCTTGTTAATGCTCGATTGATGATAGTTATCATCCGATAAGTATGAAATTTATATGCATCATTTAAATTTGTGAAATAGGTCTATTAAATTTCAGCAATTTCTGTCAATAATTTCTAGTTATGGCGATTGTGAACGTTTGAATGACAAAAGTCATCATGTGATCTGTATGAAATTTATATGCATTATTTAAATTAGTAAAATGAAAAAGCCTGTCAAATTTCAACAATTTCTGTAGATTACTTCCAGAGTTGAGACCCTTGTTTCAGTTTGTAGAACCTTGTAAACCCTCAAACGACTGTCTTGTAAAGGCCCCCAATATAAATAAATATGGAACAACCCTTGACGAACGCTCGGACGATTTAGCTGCTGTGGGCGTATGTTTTGTTGCCTGGCAACCTATCTTTTGGTGATTGACCAACCCCCAGGGGCAGAGCCACACCCATTTTTTTCTTTATGTCTCTGTGTGTTGCCTACAGGCCATGATTCTTAATGGGTCATCTTTGAACTTGGGATATGTATTCTATATACTATAGCCTAAGGACGACTACTGCATGTTCCGACCCCCAAGGGCAGAGGCACGCCCAATTTTTGTGTTAATCATTTACAGGCCGCAATTCTGAATGGATCAACTTGGTACTTGGCATATGTATTCCTAATAGCCTAAGGGTGTCAACTATTGATTTTGGTGAATGCCCTGACCCCAAGGGACAGAGCCACGCTCAATTTTTGCTTTTAGTGCCCGAAGGCCACAATTCTGAATGGATTATCTTGGAACTTGGCACACTTATTTCTTATACCCGAAGGACAGCAACTATTGATGTTGGTGCACGACCCCCTCCTCCACCCCCCACCACCTGCCCTTTCGGCGGTGCTACACCCACTTTTTGTTGATATTTTGTCTGTAAATGATAAACAGGTTGCAATTATTAACAGATTTAGATCTAATTTGGAATGATCCAGAATAGGGTTGTACCTATATATATTTCAGCATTAGCGATGCTCTCGTTATAAATGACATTGTATTTCGTACGATAGATTAAGTTCAGTAGGGGGGTTGGAAGGCTGAATGGTTAGCGTGTATCATACTGTATCATAAAGTCTGTCATTGAGTCAACTGGCGTGGTTTCGATTCCCCGGTTGTACGTCACAAGGAGTAGGGTCGCCTGTCCAACCTCGTGGGTTTTCTCCGGGTCCTCTGGTTTCCTCCCACTGCTAAAGACCCCTAAGCGCAAGTGAACTGTTGAAATAGAATTAAAAACCATATGTTAGTCCTGAAATGACCTAGTTTGTGTCGAGTGGACGTTAAACCCCATTTCTCTCTCTCTTAAGTTCAGTACTTATATTTTTTCTCCAGGTCCTCCGGTGTGCTCCCACTGCTAAAGACCCCTACATGCAAGTGAATTATTGAAATCAAATTAAAAACCATATGTTAGTCCTGAAATGACTAAACCCCATTTCTCTCTCTTAAGTTCAGTACTTTTATTTTTTCAATGCAACTTTATCTATAAGTAGTGTGACTATATCGAGGGTTTAGAACATAAATGTGATAAGTCACAATGCTTGATATATTGACTTATCACAATTATGTTCTAAACCCTCGATATGGTATGCAGTATAAACCAATTACAGTGTCTGATAAAAATACAAAAGTTGCATACGAGAACAACGAGCATATAGCGAGAAAACGCACCCATCTAAAGACTGTCCGTAAATTTACAAAGACCTGCGTAAAGTGCACGGTCAAATAATAAATCGCATGGTAAAACAGTTTTACTTCCCAAATTTTGATTTAACACATACATGTCAAAAAAATCCTGCTGGTCCTTCATTATACACCTTTTGGTGCAGTTATCTCAACTATTGAGAAAACACACGAATTAAATAACGCACATTATTTACAATTTTAATGCGGTAATCCGAGTAATAATCAGGAAATTAATTTTCTTTCAATAGACATACAAATAAAACCCCAGAGATTTATATACGTTCCATGCACAGATCAACCCCTTCTTAGTTCTTGGTGTATGTATATCATAGCTTTACTATCTCACAATCTCATGACGCCATATAAATGGATAAACCCAAGGTTCTCTATACCTGTTATCAACCAAGCTTTCTTGTTTGGAGAAATCAAAGTATTTCTTTAAAAATTTGACTGTTAAAAGTTAACATTACAGGTAGTTGAAGCAAGTAAAGATGGCGGACAGAAAACATACCTAGTTCATTATGCAGGATGGAATAATAGGTAATTTATATTCCACATTTAATCAACTTAACCATGTTAGTAGGAGAGCTAGCTGACCGTTGTTCCTAAACTCGCATACAAAATTGGCACTATGCCTAACGGAGGCACCATGATGGCCGATGATCAGAATGGGAATTTAGAAGTTGCACATCCACTGGGTTTAGGCGCTGTACGCCCCTGAAATCACGGAAAAAGTCAATTTAATTCAAATTTTTGCAGACAAAGTTAATCTTCTCTACATATGTTCGCGTTGCTAAGGCAAACTTTAAATGTGCCTTTCAGAACAAATAATCCCCTGGGTTCCTACTCCAGAATGGGTTCCAAGCTGAATACACAACGAAATCCCTTAATAACCTCTAACTTAGCCCCTAGCAACTACCTTAAGCCCTGTTATACGGTTTCAAACAATTTCCAATCGTCGGTATTGCTCTGTGTTTAAAGACTGGCGTCCTGGTTGCATCATAAAAAGTGCCTGGATAACAACACGCGACTATATGCTGAGTATGCGCAGTGGCATTTCCGGGTTACTTCCGTTTCATCGTTTCTATACGCCCACATTGAAATGTGGTCGTATATTTTTGTCAGAGTTATGGCCCTTGATCACTTCAAAAAATCTTGTGGACGCCCTCGAGGTCAAAGTTAATCTCTGATTGATTTTAAATTTATACACAGTGTTAAGGTCATGAGACGAAGAATCCTATTGATTTTCAGCAATTTCAGATAATTACTGAAAGAATTATGACCCTTGATCACTTTGAAATATCTTGTGGAAGCTCTATAGGCTAAAGTTAATATCCGATTGACTTTAAATTTATACACAGTGTTTAAGGTCATGAGACGAAGAAGCCTATTGATTTTCAGCGATTTTCGATAATTACTGTCAGAGTTATGGCCCTTGATAACTTAAAAAAAATCTTGTGGACGCTCTAGAGGTCAAAGTTAATATCCGATTGACTTTAAATTTATACACAGTGTTTAAGGTCATGAGACGAAGAAGCCTTTTGATTTTCAGTTATTTTCGATAATTACTGTCAGAGTTATGGCCCTTGATAACTTAAAAAAATCTTGTGGACGCTCTAGAGGTCAAAGTTAATATCCGATTGACTTTAAATTTATACACAGTGTTTAAGGTCATGAGACGAAGAAGCCTATTGATTTTCAATTATTTTCGATAAGTACTGCCAGAGTTATGGCCCTTGATCACTTCAAAAAATCTTGTGGACGCTCTAGAGGTCAAAGGTAATATCTGATTGACTTTAAATTTATACACAGTGTTTAAGGTCATGAGACGAAGAATCCTATTGATTTTCAGCGATTTCCAATAATTACTGCCAGAGTTATACCCCTTGATCACTTTGAAAAATCTTGTGGACGCTCTAGAGGCTAAAGTTAATATCCGATTGACTTTAAATTGATACACAGTGTTTAAGGTCATGAGACGAAGAAGCCTTTTGATTTTCAGCGATTTCCGATAATTACTGCCAGAGTTATGACCCTTGATCACTTTGAAAAATCTTGTGGACACTCTAGAGGCGGCACTATTGCACTTTCGTACCTCTACCAGTTCCCGTGGTCGTTTCAGAGGATGTTAAGGGCGACTAGCAATGACCACACACCAAATTTCAGCCGAATCGATCAATAACTTTTTATTTTACCGACCTTTTAATTTCTAACAAACTTCATCCGTATGACGCCATTTTCTTTGTTTACTATTTAGACTCGAATAACAAGACACTAAGACAGAAACCGACTCGAATAACAAGACACTAAGACGGAAACCGACACACTGCACTAGCTGCCTAACACTGCAGTTCATAAAAATTAATATAATTTTCGTATACTTTAATTTTTGCACGAAGCCACCATTTTCTATAAAATACTATTTGGTGTTGATCAGTGGATTGGCCTTTAGGTGTGAATATTGCCGTGACCTTGATTTTGACCTTGAGTCCAAACTTCCCATCCATATCGGGGCCTTTGCGTTTATGCTTGCCGTGGCCTTATTTTTCTACTGTATTATCAAAGTTAATGTTCGAGGTGAAAGCAGAGACGACGTCTTTCAGAAAAGATAATTGGGTCAAAGTCGTAGGTCAAGCTCATCTTACAGAAAACTAAACTCAAACTTTTCAAAGTCATTTTTGGGACATTTGACCTTGACCCCGTAACCATTTTAAACGGCCATCATCTGGGCTTCAGCCATCGACGTTTACCATGGTCCTGTCGCACACTGCTCGGTCAGAAAACGGTCAAACGAAGAGGGTCTGTGTTCGAAAGGAAGTCAATGGGCGGGGTCAATGTGAAAGGTCATGGTGACCTCCATTAGTCAGTGCTACCCAACCGTGACTTTGACCTTGAGTCCAAACTTCCGATCCATCTCGGGGCCTTTGCGTTTATGCTTGCCCCTATTTCTTGCTGTATTATCGAGGTTAATGTCCCGGGTGAAAGCAGAGAAGATGCCCTTAAGAAAAGATGATTGGGTCAAAGTCGTAGGTCAAGGTCATGTTACAGAAAATTGAACTCTAAATTTTTAAAGACAGTTTTTGGACACTTGACCTTGACTTACAGTCTTCACTCCATACAAAATTTTAAAGGCCACCACCTTGATCCTTTCACACACTGCTTGGTCAGAAAACGGTGAAACGCAGAGGGCACACATTCGAAAGGAAGTCAATGGACGTGGTCAATATGAAGGTCGTGGTGAGAAAATGCAAGACTAAGCCTAGAGCCAGTCAAATTTGTAATTGATTCATCTGACCTCATGATACGATTGTAGTGCACCTATATACTCCCAAACCCCACACCAGTTGCATGACATTTTGGTTGACATTCTGGTGGGTTTAGAATTACACATCCCGTCAAAATTACGCCACTGCTTCAAGATGCCTTTGACCAGGCGGACAGGTCACAATATTTTTTTAGATGTCTGTGACATGCCGGCGCCTTTGTGTTTAAAAGCATTAAGATCATACAAATGTTACTAGAAAAATGTTAAAGGCCAAGAAATTTCATCGATTTAACATTAAAGTAAAACTGTAGAGAATTACTTGTCTTAACCCTAATATGTTAAACAGTAGTTACTTCCCTTAGTCATAATATGTTAAACACGAGTTACTTCCCTTAAAGATTTAATCTGCTGAATTTCTTTTTCTCTGTACTTTTCTCAAATAAAAATAATATTGCTCAAATTCACATATCACAAGCTATCATGCACACCACCTTCTTTTGTTTGATAAATGGGAACATTTGGGAAAATGGCCAAATATGTTTGGAAAAGATTTATCGCCCTTATTATTCACCTGTCAACTGGCGTTACTCTGTAAATAGGCCCGACGCCTGTGAGTCGTCGTCAGTTCTCGGAAATAGAGCATAGGGTCATTATGGCTGCCGTTAACGCAAATATCCCGAGTCAAGCTGATTTCGATGCGATGAATTTGACTCAGATTGGGAGAAGATTTTTCCAAAATACACCTGCCGCTATTGCCTTCTGCAGGCATAATGACTTCTTGCTGTTCAACATGCCTGTCCAAATTGCCAACTTCAGTGCAATGAAGGGTTATTTGGCAGAGCAGTAGATGGTGTATGTTGGCGTTGTCCAGGGTGCAGGAGGAGATACAGTATAAGGCTAGGGAGCTTTGGGTCAGAGTACACTGTTGTGGATTGGCATCTGTTTTGTCGTGATATATGCGTCACATATTTCACCCTCAACAACTCGGCGGGCCTGGGCAAATAGTGGAAATTGACAAAAGTTTATTTGCCAGGCGAAAGAACCACGTTGGCTGAGTTGTTAGGGAACAGTGGATCTTTGGGGGCTATGATCCAGTACAAAAATATGGGTTTTTGATACCAGTCCCCCAAAGAGACGCAGCAACACTGGTGCCAATTATACAACAGTGGATTCTGCCCGGTTCTATTATCCACTCGGATATGTGGGGGCCTACAAAAACCTGGGTAACTTGGGATATGTCCACAGAACGGTTAACCATACACAGAACTTTGTAGACCCAGTGACCCAAACCACCACTAACCATGTTGAGGCCATGTGGCAGAGGGCCAAGAGTAAGATCAAGGCCATGCATGGTCCAACCAATCGCGATCTCATATCAGAATACATGGCAGAATTTATATGGCATCAGCGCTTAACTGATCATCCGTTCCATGCATTCTGGCATCAGATCGCCACGGATGTATACCCAGTGTAAAATTTCATAGTCTGTTCTTTGTATCTTGACTACTGGTTAGGATCGATTGAGCTTAACGATGTTTTAGTAATGATAGTTCTTTAGATTCAATGTGTTTCAGTTTTTTAAACCTCATTTGTAGCATACTTAGAGGTGTTTCATTTAGAATTGTTAGATGTGTTTCACTTAGGTGGCTTTCATTTAGAATAGTTAGATGTGTTTCATTTAGAATTGCTTATAGACGTGTTCATTTAGAATTGCTTATAGATATGCTTCTAGACGTGTTTTATTTAGAATTGCTTATACATGTAGACGTGTTTCATTTAAAATAGTTAGATGTGTTTCATTTAGAATTGCTTATAGACGAATTTCATTTAGAATAGTTAGATGTGTTTCATTTAAAATAGTTAGATGTGTTTCATTTAAAATAGTTAGGTGTTTCATTTAAAATAGTTAGGTTTCTTTCATTTAGAATAGTTAGGTGTCTTTCATAGTTAAATGTGTTTCATTTAGAATTGCTAGATGTGTTTCATAGAATAGTTAGATGTGTTTCATTTAGAATAGTTTGATTTTTGGAAACATTTCCGAGGTTTAGTGTATTTTTAGAATAATTGGATATGTTTTTATTAAAGAAAAGCTCAATATGTATTATTACAATAGTTATGAGGTGTATACAATCCGATATGGTGAAATAGAATTAATACTATAGTCAACCACAAGACAGTGGGTTGGGGGCAGATTTATACATTTTAAACGATTTTATCCTCAAATTCGTGTAGGCCAGCCAGATGACTAGTAAATGGGAAGGGGTATAATTAACGT